TCACTCCTGGCACTGCCCGGGGACCATCTGTGGTGGCAGGGACGGAACCTGCCTGGGTGAGTGGCCCGTTAAGGCTGCTGCCTCCCTGCTGTGCTATCTGACTATTTCTCTGGCCCTCAGCTCTGAATTTTTGTTGTTATTTTGGGGGCCACAGCTATCTGTGCTCAAGGGCAACTCTGGCGGGGCCCCGGGGACCATAGGGGGTGCCTGGGATTTGAACCCAGGTCAGCTGCATGCAAGGTAAGCAGTGCCTAACCTTGCTGTACCGTTTCTCCAGCCCCCACATCTAATAAGCCAATAGATGGCTCTTGGGACTTTCGGCCTTGCCTTAAACATGGCAAGACCATTCGTGAGAGCATCTGCAGCTCCTGGAACCCCAACCGAGGGTCATGCCACGGTCCCTTAACCCACCCAGGACTCTCTCGTCCATTCCACACTCAATGGCCATCTCCTAGGCTGGGCATGGAGGGGTGAGAATGAGCTAGTCCCAGGCCTTGGAGGCCACACACAGACCCTGCGGCCCCTGGAGGCAGGGCTGCGGCCATGGCCAGGGGCCCCCCGTCTGCAGAGGTGAGCTCCTGCCCCCAGAGGAGGACGCCCAGGTCTTGTGATTTTGTTTTAAACTTAAACTCATCTCAGATGCTGATTTTAAGGGGGGTCAGGCAGGGAGGAGTTTCCTTCCCCCTACCCCACCTCTTTTTTTTTTTTTTTATTAGTGAAACACCATGATGTACAGTTGTAGACGACTTACAAGTTTTTGTGCTTGGGTTTCAGTTATACAATGATTGAGTACCCATCCTTCCACCAGTGCCCATTCTCCATCATTTACATTTTTAAAAAAATTTTTGTTAGTGAAATACCATGAGGTACAGTTGTAGATTTACAAGTTTTTGTGCTTGGGTTTCAGTTATACAATGATCGAGTACCCATCCCTCCACCACTGCCCATTTTCCACCACCCTGGATCCCAGTATCCCTCCCACCTCCCATCCCCCCCCATCCCACCCTGCCTCTGTGGCAGGGCACTTCCTTTTGTTCTCTCCTTTTGGGTGTTGTGGTCTGCAAAAGAGGCAATGGGTGACAATCATGTTCGGTCTATAGTCTACTTTTGGCATGCATCTCCCATCCTGGGAGGATCCTCCCAACACCCTTTACTTGGTGCTCCCCTCTCTATCTGAGCTGCCTTCTCCCCCACCTCTTTTCATTGCAGTATAAGTTGTTTCCCGGGTACCCTTTGCAGTGTGAGGGTTGACTGTGTGTAGCTGGTGAGTGAACCCCGTGGCTTGTTAACTCAGCATCCTGCAGCTTTAGAAACAAAGCTTTTCTTGTGTGTGGTGTGTGTGTGTGTGTGTGTGTGTGTGTGTGTGTGTGTGTGTGGCGACTTTTTATTCTGGGGTGAGGGAGGGTGTTCGGGCCTCACCTGGTGGGGCCCTGGGGATATTCTTGCCTGGCTCTCAAGAGTGACCCCTGGTGCAGGAAGGAATCAAATAAGATGCTGGGATGGAACCCACGGGCAGCCGGTTCAGGCCGGCACCTTGACCTCGGTACCAGCTCTTCTGCGTCTTGTGATGGGACCTCTAGGGTCTGCCCTGCCATAGCGTCCCGAGAAACAGGGCGTCACTGACTCTCCTCCCCACGGTGTCCCCGATATCCCGGCACCTCTCTCACTGAGGGCTGAGAGTTTGTACCTCCGGTCCAGGCATCTTGTCCCCTTCCCTCTCAACCCCGCAGCTGCCCAGAGTATCTGCTGTTCGTATCTTTGCTTTTGTGCTTTGTTCTAAACATTTCCCACTGGAGTGGAATCAGAAGGGCCACCTGACACGTAGATGGAGCTCTCATCATTGAGAGTGGAGTTCTTTCTGGGGGGCGGGTGGGGGGTTTGGGCCGTACTGGCGATGCTCAGGGGATACTCCTGGCTCTGCATTCAGGAATTACTCCCCTGGCGGTGCTCAGGGGACCGTATAGGATGCCAGGGATCGAGCCGGGTTTGGCTGCGTGCAAGGCGGGTGCCTTTCTGCTGTGCTATCTCTCCAGCCCCGAGAGCCTCGTTCTTCATTTGTGCATTGTACAAGGGGGGCCTCAGGCAGGGACACCGAAAACAGAAAGTAATTAAGAAGACGAAATAAACACCTGGCCAAGCTCTGGGAGGCAAGCAGGGAACCCCCAGGACTGGGTTAGCCCTCTCGGGCTTCATGGATGAGCGCTTGTGAAACACAGGGCAAAGTGAAATGCATCTTCTGTGTCTAAGAAGATGTCAACATTGTAAAAGATCCGAACTGGGTCAGAGGAAGCTGTCTCTGCCTTTAGACATTACAGGGGATTATGCTACCCCCAATTTTTTTTTTTTTGGCAAAGAAGTAAAGTGTATATATACATTTTAAAACAATAGACCTGGAAACTGTCCAGCTCTGGTAAAGCAACTACTGTGTCTGGGAGGTGAAATGCAGTGACTGCTCGGCCCACTTGGGCGTCTGATGGACTGGCTGGAGTGACCACACGCGTGGATGGCGGCGGGGCGGCTGCGAGCTTGTGCCAGAGGCCAGAGAGTTGGCACCACCGTGCCCTAACTTCATTACTGTACTGACAGCCAGAAAAAATAGGGAGTTTCTAGAATTTGGAGGTGCGAGGGCGACTGCTGTCTTGGGCTTGGTGGGTTCTCACACGCAGACGCACAGAACGTTCCGGAGATGTTTGCCAGCAGGAGGGAGCTTGGCTGAGCTGCTTTTTTCTCCCGCTACCTTAGAAAGCCACATCAGATGGGGTTGAAGTTGGTCTGATTGTGGAACCAGCCTCCACCCGTGGTTTGAGATGGCTGTGGAGGGGGTTTCGGCCCAGGGAGCACCTGCAGAGCGGAATGTTCTGGATCCTGGCCTCAGCCCCTGGAGGCAGAGGGGGGCCACTGCTCAGAGCCGCAGGCCCCTTCCCCTGAATTGTTGACTGCCTGGCCCTGCGTGGGGGCTCCTTCTGGAAGCTTCCTCCGGCAGCCGCCCGGCTCCTAGCCCCCACCCGACGGCACGTTCTGATCTCTTATGGCTGAACTGCTGGGACTGGGGAGCCTTTGGGGGTTGCTCGGACGAGAGCGGGGGCCGTTTCTCGTCTGGAGGGCCAGGCTGACCCCGCACCCCTTGCAGCTGTGGCCAGCTGTTCTCGGCGAGGATGGGCCGGACAGGGGTCAGTGAAGCGTTGCAGGAGCTGGGTGTGCGGGAGAGTGGCCCGGGGCGTGCGGGACTGAGCTCCCCGTCCCAAGGGAGATTCGGGTGAGAAATGTCAGTCGGGCTCAGAGCCCGAGGTCGGTCACCTGACCAGTCCCGTGCTCACTTGTCGCTCGTGGAGTGGGTGATCCCTGGGAGCCTGGTGGATGATTTCCTGAGAACGGAAGCCTGACCTGGTTTCAGGAGTCTGTTGGGCGGCGGGAGTGAAGGGGGGCGTGCAGGCAGCTCTGCCTCTCCGGACACTGCACAGCGACCCCGGGCAGGGCTTCCTCTTCCCGGAAGTCCTCCGAGATGAGCCCTTATTTCCACTCGCCGCAACATCTGCTTTCTGCCTTGACTTCCCCGAGGATGAAGGATTGTTTTTTGTTTGTTTTGGGTCACACCTAGCGATACTCAGGGTTGACTCCTGGCTCTGCACTTGGGAATCACTCCTGGTGGTGGTTGGGGGACCAGATGGGGTGCTGGGTATTGAATCTGGGTCGATTGCCTACCGGGCAAGCACCCAACCTGCTGTGCTAGGGCTGGCCCGGGGGGTGGATTGTGTTGCCAGTGTAAACATGCCACAGGTGGAGACATCAGAGTCAAACCAGGGATATTGCTCAAGGGAGCCCGTGGCTGGCAGGGGCCAGGAGCGAGGAGGCCCTGGGTTCCGTCCTTGCTGTTCCGGGGTTGGCCCGGCGGCCCAAGCCCACCCCGGGGTGCCCCTTCTTGCAAAAGAACTGAAACTCCAATTTGTGCAATCTGCCACACCTTGAGTGTTGATTTGGGATGCGGTCGTGGAGGGCAGTCCCATGGCCAGGATGTGAGATCATGGGGGTCCCACATAGACGAAGCGGGCGGGACCCATCCTGCAGACCACCAGGGGCTGGCGGAGCGGCTGTGGGGCTGAGTCCCCCAACTCTGACATTGATGTCAGAAGAACCGGCAGGCGAGGAGGGAACTGTCAGCTCAGCTTCCTTCCCACTCGAGAGCAGGGAACTGACCCGTCGGGTGGGCAGGGTTGGGGGGGGGCAGGGGGTGAGTCTGGGTCAGGCTTCCCAGCACTGCCGTGCCCAGCTGGCCAGGGAGAAGCAGCTGCTGGAGGTGTCGGGGGGTCCAGGAACTGCCAGGCGACCTTGAGCAGGGCCTCTTCACCCGGGATTCTTCTCCTTCTCTGGACTCCCGTTTCCAGAGCCAAAGCTGCTGCTCTCTGTGCCCGGAAAACACTCAGGGGCTGCACTGGTGCTTGTGGGGAAGCGCGGTACCCCCCCCCCCCCGAGGGGGGTACAGAGGTGTGTGCCCTGCCCTGGCCGCCCCGGGTCCGGGAGTGCCAGGGGGAGTCCCAGGAGATTGGAGACAGATGTTCGCTGATGTGCAAACGTTTCCCCCAGGGGCAGGGTGCCAGCCAGGACACCGGCTTCCTGCGGGCGCGCGCGGGGGCAGGGCCGGCCCTCCTGCGTCCCAGCTGCCTGTGGGGTTGGCTCCGGGGCTGGGCCGTGCCCTCTGCAGGGCTCTTTGTCTGCCTGCGAGCGAAGTGCAGCCTGGTGGCCAGTAATCCCGCTCCAGCGACTGGACCTCAAATGTGGTTTTGGAGTGCATCCCGGAGTGCCGGCTGGGGAGGCGCCCTCCTCCCGATTCAGAGGCACGGCCGGATGCCGAGTGCCGGGCTGCAACGCCGCCGCCGCTGCTGCTGCTGCTGCCGCCGGCGGCCTTAAACCTGTCGGCCCGGGCTTCTCCGCTCCTTCGCTTGGCTGCGCTTTTTTTTTTCCTTCTCCTCCTGGTTCCCAGGAAACCTTCCCCGGGGCCGTTCATGGATCCCCAGCTGACTCGCCTCTTGCTCTTTCTCTCCCTGCCGCCCTTGCTAGTGGGCAACCACACGGGCCGCATCAAGGTGGTCTTCACGCCCAGCATCTGCAAGATCACCTGCACCAAGGGCAGCTGCCAGAACAGCTGCGAGAAAGGCAACACCACCACGCTCATCAGCGAGAACGGGCACGCGGCCGACACGCTGACCGCCACCAACTTCCGAGTGGGTGAGTGTCCCCTCCCCGGCCCCGGCCCCGGCCCTGGCCGTCCGGCCGGCTGTCTGTCCGTCCCTCCCGGGGAGCCGGCTCCGGGGGTGGCCGAGCGCCCAGACGCGCCCCCCTCTCCGCCCGGCTCTTCCAGCGCTTTCCGTCCAGGAAGCCAAGTGTGCAGTTGGCCCGGCTCGGCGGGTCTCCGTTTCGGCGGGTCGCTGTTGAACCTGACTTGGGGTTTCTCTAAGCCGAGGAGGCGTCTGCCCAGAGGCTGGGGGCTCACGCGGGCTCCGGGTGGGGGTTGTGGGTGGGAGCAGGACAGTGGGGAAAAGGACCTCCCGTGTCTCTCCGAACGGTCTCACGTTTTATCTGCCACCGGAGAAGCGGAACGGATGTTAGAGCTGGTGGGGTCTCACGGTGGGCGCAGCTCACTCTCAAGGCTGACTTTACGCAGAGCTGGCCCCTGATGGACCCCGCCAGCCTATACTTCAGATTGGCGTCTGTTGTTCTCTATCAGAGACCGGGCTATTAATTGATTAAGAGGATATGGATATGTGTGTGTGTTGCGGGGGGTGGGGGGGTAGGTTAGGGGATAACCAGCATTCCAAACCCTTTAATCTTGCACCATTAATTTAAATATGAGTGACTGTAATCATCAGTGACGAGGGGGGGAGCTCTTTTGCTGCTTGTGGGGGGTTTGGGTGGGGAGGTGGGACTTGTTTCCTTTTCACTTTTTTTTTTTTTAAATTTGTGAAGAAAGTCTTGCGGTCCAGTGAAAGCTGTCATGCAATCCAGTATTTTTGTCACGGAAAAAATGTGTCTTTTATTTATTTATTTATTTTGGACCAATTACGGTTGGCCCCGGGCACTGAAATAATCACAGACACCCACGTTACTTTCTGAGCTACTCACCAGAATAACCCCCCGTGTCAGACAGATAATAACACTGGCTCGATCTGGTCTTTTTATGGAATATCGCTGTTTAGTCTTAGGAGAGTGTCTGGGGAGGGAGTTCAGAGCAGCGGTGTCTATTTCAAACCCGTTTCCACCAAGACCAAATGCAGCGGGGCCAGCCGGCTTCCGACCCCCCTCCCCCCCTCCCCCCATCTGCTTTCTCACCACTTTGCAGCCTGAGGGGACGGAAGCGGAGTCCTTGATCATTTGGACCCAGAACAAGCATGTGACCCGAGATACCAAGTGGGAGGGGGTTGTAGCCTTGCTGGCATGGAGAGGCGTGCCCGGGGCATATTTTGAAAAGAATTTAGCTGTGAGGTGTCCTGTGTAATCTCTGGGGCTGGCCAGGGAACCCTGTCCCCTGGGGACACGTGCTGAGCTGACGGAGGGGCAGGAAATGAGCTCCCGGGTCTGCCACTCGCTAAATCCCAGGCTTGAGCTCTGGGGCTTGGTGTGTTTTCTCATCCGTAAAAATCAATGACTGGTACACATCAATGGATGGCGTTTAATCATCTCTATGATTCAGTTCATTGCTCTCTCTCTCTCTCTCTCTCTCTCTCTCTCTCTCTGTTGTAATATTGATTTCAGGCTTTTGGGGAAGTCTTGTAGTGCTGAAAGGTCAGATTCCCTGCGGGATTGTGTTCACTGCCTCTTTTCCTGATGGTGCTTTCGAATGTGTTCACTGCCCCTTTTCCTGAAGGTGCTTTCGAATGTGTTCACTGCCTCTTTTCCTGAAGGTGCCTTTCTAGCCGGCCTCTCTGTTCCCCTGCCTGCTGTATTGTTGTGACTCTTCACCGCTGGGATGACAGGGCGATGGATCCCCTCGGCTGGGCGGTAATTGTTGGCTTTTGCTGTGCGATCTGGGAAACGAAACGTTTGAAGGCTTTCAGAGGCAGAGGAAGCCTACTTGTTCAAACACGCTGCCCACATTTCCTCTCCGACTCGGCCACCGATGTGTCGGAGCAGAGCGCGCAGCATCCGTTCCGAATGGGAAGAGGGACAGTTCTGAACAGAAGGTGAGCGCTGACACCAGAGCCCATCTCTGCTCTCAGGGAGGGCCGCGTGCTTTAGTGGCTTAATGACACTTGGAGAGAAGAAGGGACAGGGGATCTGGGGAGGGGCAGAGAAGGTGAGGGTGAGAACAGTGTGGAATAAATAGTTCTGTGTGGAAAGTGATGGGGAGACCTTCACTGCCGTCCAGAGCGCAGTTCTCTGCCCGCTTCTCGCATTAATTCACCTACTGACCCATTTGAGGGACAAATGGAAAAGCTTTAGAATTTGAGAATGTCTGTTTCATGGAATCTTCAGATGATGGGTTTTTCAGAAAAGCAGAATACGTACGTTGAAACTGTATTTATTTATTTATTTTTGGCTTGGTTTATTTTTCAGGTCTATAGAATTTTTAGGGATTCAGGGGGTAGAGAGTTTTACTGGTTGAATATAATTTTGGGGTTTTTTTCTATATAGTTATGTACCGTGTGCTATGTCTTTGACAAAAAGAGCTATGGAAAAGCATATATTTTAAATATATGCTAGAAAAAAATTAAAATTTATTCTAACTTGGGGCTGGAGCGATAGCACAACGGATAGGGCGTTTGCCTTGCACGCAGCCAACATGGCCAACCTGGGTTCGATTCCCAGCATCCCATATGGTCCCCCGAGCCCCGCCAGGAGCAATTCCTGAGTGCATGAGCCAGGAGTAACCCCTGAGCATCGCCGGGTGTGACCCAAAAAGAAAAAAAATTTATTCTAACTTGTTAGTATTCTTTCACCTCTGACACTTATGTATGTTGTGTGTGTGTGTGTGTGTGTGTGTGTGTGTACACACATATATTTCAGATGCTGACTGGGGGGCATATCTGCATTTTTTTTTCTGAGTAGCCACACCCAGCCGCGCTCAGGGTCTACTCCTGGCTCCGTTCTGGAAAATCGCTCCTGGCGGTGTTTGGGGTTCAAATCCAGGCCTCTTGCATGAAAAGCGTACATAGTTCTTCTTATCTTTCTATCCCTCGAGCAACCCCTTTAAAATAAAATTCCTTAATCGCCACTATTTTTAATAGGAATGCCATTTGGGGCGAGGGGTCTTGGGGCTGCACCCGGCTTTGCTCCGGGCTGACCCCTGGAGGGCTCAGGGGATTGTCTGTGGTGCCAGGGATGGAACAGCAGGTAGGCCACGTGCTTGGCAAGCACCCACTGCACTATCTCTCTGGCCCAGGAATGCCGATCCTAATCAGACTTGGTAATTTATTTTCAGCTGCACTCAAGGCTACTCTCAACTCGGCTTGGGAGTCACTACTGTCCCAGGGGACCAAGTGCCGGGGGTGAATTCGGGGCTCCCACATACGGAGTCCGTGGGGCTGGGAGTGAATCTGAGGTTCCCACGCACAAAGCGCATGGTACTGAGTGTGAACCCAGGGCTCCTCCATACGAAACATATGGGACTGGGTTGTGAGCCCGGGGCTCCCACATACGGATCAAGTGCTCCTGATCTCTGAGCTCGCTCCCCGGTTCTGGCCTCTGATATTTAAAGGGTGCTAAGAGGTGTGGGCTGGGAAACGCTTCCCGCAACTGGGCACCTGGTGGGTGGCATACATCTCTGCTCTGCCCCCCTACACTTCCGTCATTCTGCATATCAGCTCTGCCGTGGGAGCCAGCCAGCACGGCCCGGAACGTGTGAAGTGGATGTTCTAGAAACCCTTGGGTCTGGCTGTGCCTTAGGCCCTAGACCACAGCTTCCCGTTCCAAGGAGGCAGAAGAAAATGAGGAAGCTGGGGGCTTCCTGGTGGTGGTGGGGACACCGGAGAGCTGGGAAGGTATCGCCCTGTGCGCAGCTGACCTGGGATCCAACCTGGATGGTCCATGAGCCCTGCCAGGAGTGAGACTCCATCCCTGAGTACCACTAGGTGTGGCCCACAGCACCTCCCCACTCCCCGCCCGAAAAGCCCCCGTTATTTAAAGCCCCTTAATTAAAGAGCTCATCTTGTTAACTGGACATTATCAGACTTCTGCACCAGTCCTTGGTAGTTTGGGTGGGAGACAGGGCATGCGCAGGAGCTTGGATGATAAGTTTGCTGCCTCTGGTGATGGCAAGACAGTGGCTGGACCAGAATCACAGCCTCCTTATGCTCCACCCTCTTACTCTGGGGTCTCTCCCATCGCCTCGGGAGCTGGGTTTTATGGGCGGGTCAGACAAGACGACATAAGGGAGCCACTGTGGGGCCAGAGCCAGATAGTAGGGCGTTTGCCTGGCATGTGACCGACCCGGGTTCGATCCCCAGCATCCCAGAGGGTCCCCCCAAGCACCGCCAAGAGTAATTCCTGCGTGCAGAGCCAGGAGTCACCCCTGAGCATCACTGGGTGTGGCCCCCAAACAAAAAATAGAACAAAACTGAAGATGGAAATGAAGCGTTGTGAGACCAGCACTCGTGGGTTCGAGTCCTGGCCTCCTGCGGTCACCGTGCCCTGGCTCCGTCCTCTCCAGCCTGGTGCTCATCCGCACAGGGCAGGTGACAGCAGGTGACAAGGGAGGACTCGGTGGAAGCGAAGGCAAATTCTGCCACCTCCAGAGTGGGGTGGGGAGGGGCGCAGAGTGAGCGCCTTTGCTCAGTCCCACGGCTGCAGGGTGCTTCTCTCTGGGCCTGGGAGAAGCAGCAATTAAAAAAATTATTATTTATTAATTTTCTATTGAACCACCATGAGGTACACAGATGAAAAGATGTTCATGGCCGGGTTTCAGTCATACAACGTTCCAACGCCCGTCCCTTCACCAGTGCTCACTTGCCACCACCAATGGCCCCAGTTCCCCTGCCACCCCCATAGCCTACGTCTATAGCAGAAACTTTGACTCTCTCTCCCTCTCTCCCTCCTGCCCCCACTCTCTCCTTTTGAGCATGATGGTCTGCAACACAGGCACTGGAAAGTTTTCACGTGTGTCCCTTTCCCTCCTTTCAGCACCCAGTTCTTGTCCAGAGTGATCATTTCCAACTATCATTGTCATAGTGGGCTGGAGCGATAGCACAGCGGTAGGGCGTTTGCCTTGCACGCTGCCAACATGGCCAACCCGA